CCTAAATCCAATTTTTAGATCGAAAATGTGAAAAGAGAGAGGAACGCCTGGTCATCACATCTAGATGTGTATAAGAGACAGGTGTGTGTGTGTGTGAGAGAGAGAGAGAGAGAGAGAGAGAGAGAGAGAGAGAGAGAGAGAGAGCACTCGGTAGTTATCGAAGTGCAATGGCAGGGATCGGACCCGGAAGTGCAAGGCAAGCCCACGTGACGCGTTTGTACGGTAAATCATTCACGCATCCCGCCGTATGTGTCTTGCTGACGTCATCAAGAAACATATCTTACTGACGTCAGCAAGAAACGTATGTTGTTGACGTCTGCAAGAAAAAAACATATGTTGTTGACGTCAGCGAGAAACATGTCTTGCTGACTTCAGCGAGAAGCATATGTTGTTGACGTCATCAGGAAAAAAATGTGGAGTTGGCAAGGGCGAAGAATTGTGTGTCCGTTTTTTTCAGAGAGCAGTGTAATATGTTGTTGGCGTCATCAGGAAAGATGTGGAGTTGGTAAGGGCGAAGAATTGTCTGTCCGTTTTTTTCATAGGGCAGGGATGAAGCGGTTCAGCCAAGGCATCGCCGACTTCACCAAGCGCAAACGAGGAACAAGAAGACCGAGAGAATGGGAGAAGGAGGTATATTGCCCTTCTCACGGTTTGACGTGTCGCAGCTTTTCCTTTTCGTGCTGCACCAAGCTTGGCGCGCTTCAACTTCATCATTGTCTCTACCTCCCGCAGAGATGCTTTACTAGAATTAAAGAAAGACCGCCACTTCCCGTGCAGGAGTGCACATGGAAACAAGCATCGGCGGGAGAGGAGGTAGAGGGGGGAGAGGAAGGAAGTGGGGGAGAGTGTGGTGTGATAGGCGTAGGGAGAGAGGCACGAGAACAGAAGAGCGCGAGGAAGGAAAGGAGAGAGGGGAGACCACGAGGATGGAGAGGACGGAACGGGAAAGGAGAGAGAGGAGGGAGACGACAGAGAGAGCGGAAGAAACTGACGGCCTCGCCACAGCTTGTCGGAACGAGAAAACTTGGAGTGCATCCTTCACAGAGAGTGGCCAGATGCATCTGTTGATTTTTTATAGTAGCGGATGCATCTTGCCACTCTTTGCGTTAACATGCACTCCTGTTTTTCGTCATGCTGTTTTTATAGTAGCTGATGCATCTGGTCACTCTCTGTGTGAACGTGCTTCCTGATAGGGGCACGTTGGACAGTAAGTAGCCGGTGAGTCTCGGGCGTGTCTTTCTTCGGTATACGAGGAGTGAGTGCATCTTCCACAGAGAGTGGCAAGATGCATCGCTTGATTTTTTGTAATAGCGTAGGGATGCATCTCGCCACTCTTTGCGTGGACATTCATTCGTACTGTTTTTTTTTTCCATACTCGTTCAAGTTTTTCTACAAGCTATCTGATAGGCGGTCGGCGGAGAAGGAGTCTCCTGTTAGTCTTGGGCGCATCTTTCTTCGGTATACCACGAGTGCATCTTCCACAGAGAGTGGCAAGATGCATCGCTTGATTTTTTGTAGTAGCGTACCGATGCATCTTGCCACTTTTTGCGTGGACATGCATTCATACTGGAGTCGATATACTTTTCCGTTTCGAAGGAAGGTCCTAACCGAAGAGACTTGGTTTTGGGCATTTCATTTCACGGCATGGATTTGGGTTTGGAGAGTGGTGTGCCCAGCCCCTGATAAAAAGAGAGGGAGAGGGGTTGGAAGTGGGAGAACCGGAGGAAAAAAGGCGGGAGACGGAGGCGAAAAGGCGGGAGACGGAGGGAAAAAGGCGGGAACGGAGGGGAAAAGGCGGGGACGGAGGGAAAAAGGCGGGAGACGGAGGGAAAAAGGCGGGAGACGGAGGGAAAAAGTCGGGAACGGAGGGAAAAAGGCGGGAGACGGAGGGAAAAAGGCGGGAGACGGATGGAAAAAAGCGGGAGACGGATGGAAAAAGGCGGGAGACGGAGGAAAGAAGGCGGGAGATGGAGAACAGTTCGCTATTTTGGCGCCATTACTTCCAAGAGGAAGAGGTGAGCGGATGGATGAATCTTTGATTGCCGCGGTCAGGCCGTGCAGTTTCGATAAGCCTCTGGAATGCTGCCACGTGGACTGCAAGATCGATTCCACGTGTCCCTTGCTGGACGAGGCGGCTTTCAGCCAGTTGCTGCTCACCCTGGCGAACTCTGAAGCTTATGATGACACGTGTCCCCCTGATTGGTCACAAAGAGTGAAAGATACGGAACAAACTCTTCACCTCAGCACATTCTAGTCCTCCTTTGAACGCCAGCCTCGAACGCTCGCCGGCGGCTGCGGGTTTCCCGAGCACATGTCTTCTGTATCTTCCAGTAAATATGGAACTATTCATTGAGCAAGCGGTTCCTCCAAGGGGTAAGCCAGCACTCCGTTCTCCGGGACTTACTTGGACTCTGTGGATAGGCGAGGGTGGAGTGGTCGGCTGTGTCTTCGGCTATGCCGTGACGGTCTCTCTGAGCTTCACTACCGACTTCACCCGCACACAACGTACCCTCATTTTGGCTGCACCGGGGCGTAGACATGCCTTGTATACGTTCATTGTCAGGGCGGGCCTATCGGAAACAGATGATGGTTAAGGCCCTCGCTCCACAACTCACCAAATGTGCGAAATGGGAATGTATTTTCAGCTTGTTCGTGGAAAGATGCACTGCCATAATTTGCCTGTTGTGCTACGATCAAGGTGGTGCAGAACAGAGTGGAAGATCACGAACAAATGATCAAGCGTGGGCAAGATCAAGATGATGATGATGATGATGATGATACAGACAGGGAGGTTCACGACCCGCTTAGATGAAGATGCAGCAAAGAAGGGGTGACGAGGGAATCGCAAGATCAAGATCACGAGAGAGAGAGAGAGAGAGAGAGAGAGAGAGAGAGAGAGAGAGAGAGAGAGAGAGAGAGAGAGAGAGAGAGAGAGAGAGAGAGAGA